TACTTTTTAATTTTCAGATAAACTAATAACTGTACTCCATATGTGTAAATTGTTAACTGAAATTTTATATTTTTGACTTTCAGAGAATCTTGTAAAGCTCCATCACTCAAAAAGTTCGGGAAACTCACGACTTTTTAATTTATATAACATTTTTTTGGTTTCGGCAATACAAACACATTGTAATCCTTCAAATGATACTTTTCCGCCTCAGTTTGTTTTAGCTAAGTAAAGATGTCTTTAGGGATCTCAGGAGTATTGTTTGTATGTAATCAAAGATAATTTTACTATCACTATTGTGTTCAGAATAGGGTAGTATGGTTCACTCCATGACCCCTTTATTCGCTTTAAAGTACTCTTTTGTGAATCAGTTCTCACGGCGTTATCGTATTTATTTATTTGAACTCATATACATAGATACAAGGGGGCGCCAAATACATATGCGCCACACAATAACAATGAGATTGTGAAGAGAGAGAATATAGAGTGCGTATAATAAAAAAAGAACAACAACCAACAAGAATTAGTGTATGCAAGTAAAATAATAATAATGGAAGGAACAGTTCAGTTAACAAAAATTTAACCAGAAAGAATTCTTCCAATTACAGTTACGTTCATTTCTTATGAAGTAAAAGAAACAATAGGATTGTCACTGGCTTCTATTCTGAGTCATCTCTAGGACCAGTCTTACTCAACTTCCTATTATACCATGACACCATGCCATACACTGACCACCTCTTTGCTCTTTCCAACCGCAAGCGATTTTACTCGCCATTTTCATGGCAATGGGAACCAATACTAATATATACTTTTTGGTGAGTGGTAATTAGCCTCAAACCTAGCTCGGTTCGATATTCATTTGCAACAGATGCTGTAACCAGTTTGCCGACTTCGATCCGTTTAGGACGACAAATTTGTTGGCCACTGAAACATAAGGGATGATTAGAGTCCAAAAGGAGCGGCAGTTTTGTGTACAATCACGCCAGCAGTAGTTGATCGCGATGCGATTAGTCTAAGTCCAAACTTGAAATGCAAAGAAAGGACGCCAGGTGAGACATCGGCGATGACTGTGCCGATAGTTAATCCCAACCGGAAACAGGTTGTAGTCTGCGCAGTAGACGGTCCTCGTTATCTGAGCTGCAACCGACAAGTCCTCATTGGTTACCCAAATGACTCTCCTCTGTGTTTAGACGCCTAACATCCACAGTCAAGTCTCCGGTCAGTACGCTTAACTGATAGTGTAACTCATCCTCTGTCGAATCCGAGATGCAATCTGTCGAAATGTATGCGGAAATGACGAAAAGACGTCGCTTCTCACACTGATTTCTCACTATGATGGAACTTTCTAATCTAACAGCACACAATTGGCTGTTAATGGATATCCAGTCGATCAGTGCTGCCTCAGCTCTAGTGCTTAGTGCGACACAAACGACAGCGAAACTAAATGTAGATGCTACAGGGTCCCTGGATAAACGCATGTGAAACAAGCCCTTCGAAGCGACAGATGGAGAGCGAATTTGCAGTGCTTCACTAGAGTCTTGGATAGACAACAAACGTCTATATTAAGACTTTCTAAAGACATAGCCAATCATATATATGTCGTTTGGTCTGCATTAGTGTGTGAACGTTGAAGGAGGCCAGTTTGAATGGCATACGTGGTTTCACAAAGACTGGTTCAGTATTCCTAGTCGGTGGTAGCATTCAACTTTCGACCAATCAGTGACTTGGGATCGTTTATGTAGGACAGGGTTTCCACCATAGGCGAACTGCTGGATAATTTTAAAAATAAAATACGCAAAATGAGAGTAAGGGGGAATACACAAATGACGAGTATTATCATATTATTGTGAATAGGCGTTGAAGCAGGAGCAATTCTTTTCAGTAGTAATCATTGATTTGTGCGAGGGCCCTGATACTGTCCGAGCGCCCAGACCAGAGCAAATGTTTTCCTTAGGGATCAACACTCGGAGCCTTCGGCCTAAAGATATGATCCACAAGGCAGTGGGGCAACGTCAGATGCAGTTCTATGGAAGCCGGTAACCAACAATCGGTTCATAGGCCATTTGTTCCCTCGAGATCCTGGGGTCTGTGTGCACCACCGGCTTGAAATTAAGGTTCTCTATCTCCCCTATGTGGACTCACTGTGCCACTAACCCAGTTAAAGCGCTGAATATTCGCTATCGTGTAGGAGACTCGTGCTGCTATAGATGATATGAGGGAATAGTATAGGTTATAATATAAAAGCTAATATCTATTTTTCGACAGTTCCTAATTATATTTTACAAAAAACACCTAATGAATTTTCATGTAATATTTGTGTATAGAATTGATCTTGCGGTGTACACTTATCGTAACATTGTAAGGAGTTTAGATTCTCCGTATTACGAAAAAACAATGATCCTGACATTTTACAGCACTAAAAGACAAAATGCTGAGAAAACAATCAGCATGGATTTGAAGAACTCGTTTGGCTTTCGCCAACTAACATCACCTGTGGCGAAGGCGAGTTATCCGTCTGTCAATAAAATAACGAGTATACTGTGCGGCACTTTTTGTTCTACTTTACGGCTGCGAAACGTGGCCGTTAAGAGTTGAAGATACTCGTAAGTTACTAGTACGCGATTGCAGATGTCTTAGAAATATTGCTGGGATCACCGGGTAGGTAATGGTGAGGTTAGACGTGTAGGGTATTAGGGAACGATGGCAAACCAGTTGATGAGGTTGTGAATTTTCATCAACTGAGATAGCTGAGTCACCTGTTACGTATGCCTGAACGTTGATTACCATGACGCGCAATGCTGACTAGTGTTGGAGACGTATGGAAGTTAGGAGCGGCCAAACTAAAACGTGGCATCAGTCCATTAGGTCACTAACTTCTGGTCTGATCCACGTTGGTGGATGCAGACCATTTGGTTAGGGTCTGTGTGACTATCGTTACCAATGGTTGGGGACTGGGTGACATGGCTCAAAATCAGTCACGTTGGCGTAGGTGTACACATTCTTTGTCTTCCCTTAAACCGTGAGATTAAAACTACTTTATACCTTTCTTTCTACTAACTAATTCTTTCCCTCTGTATCATATCATTATGTGCAATTTTTCTTTACTACCATTGAAGTAACTGCTTCTATGAATTCGGTGTCCATCTTGTTGTACTAATGCGGTGTGGCAACTTGGACCGATGCATATATGTGTCTGGTCGTGCGTTGTAGATGACTGACTGAAAAATGATTTCGCATGTCTTTTTATGATGTACACGATGTGAATAATGATGCAATTAATAACCTCTAATCGGAATGCTATTACAGTGAGTCACAAGGTCCCACTCCATTAACTGAAATGTTTTGAGGCCGTTCCCAGTAGATCCATTTTGATGGCTAGTATAGAGGGAATTATCGAATTTATCGTTCTCAAAAAGTAGATCCTAAGCAGTGAATTAGTTCTGCGCAAATCCGTTACGTTGTCTTGAAATAAACCACTTAGGTCTCAAGTAATGGCTTCAGAAGTCTTTTGTGATTATTAAGTAGTTTTCACGTTGATTCTGGAAATCGCTTATGAAACTGGGTTATTAATTTCGTTGATGATTTTTTTGGATCTCAGAAAATCACAGACCAGCGAACGAAAAAACACTCTGATATCAGTCGACATTAGAGCTTCAGTTAGATTTTTGTAACTAGCTTTCTCTACATAATTCACAACTACTAGTAATGTCCTAATTTGATACTTGTTAAAACAGCAAACATGCTAGGATGTTTGGGATCCTTTTTACTCCATCTTAATGCAGAATATTGCTTCAGGACTGGTCTTCGTCAACGCCTCAACTAATAATCTAGTGTATTTGAGTTTAGTGATCACTTCACTTATCTTGGAAGTCTCATCAGCTCTGGGAGGTGGTCTGACGAAGTCTCGGAGCAAATTTAGTGAACTCGGTGTTAGGTCCCGATAAACATAATGAATGGTAACTTTGGGATCCTTTTATGGACTAATACTAAATTCATATTTTAGTCGTATAATTGTTAAGTAACTAAACTATTCATATTCATGTTCCTCTTATCATAAACTTTATTTTGACCTATGAACCATTATTATACGTTTTATTATTCTTGAGTTACGCCTTGTCTATCAATTACTATCTCCCTTATTCACAGTCACATTTGGCTAAATCTTGTGCAAATGTCATTTCCTATTTTATGGTACGATGTGGTCTGTTTGGTTGGTATATAAACTCAGTATGTTTGAAATATAATGATTCATATTGCAGAGGCTGAGACTGGGGTTTTGGACTTAGCTGGCTGGGCTAGACAGGAAGCGAGACTAATCTGGACTCTAGGCTGCTCGCACGTGTTTTATGCGTCTTTGGTCCGAACAATAATTCACTGTCCTCTAATCGGCGGTCATAAGTTAAAACAGTAGGTGGCATATTCGTCTGCCATATACAGGATGAGATTACAGTGCAGAAGTCCACTTCATTCTATCTTGTGGTTCTGAAATATGGGCTTTAGGAACAGAGGATATCCGTAGACTACCAGTATCCGAACACAGGTGTTGCGAACCAGTTCCCTTATATTTTGATAATATCAAGTTAACTGACGTAAGAATAGGTTGGAAGCTGACAGACGTCAGTCTATGAAGACTGATTGTTGAACTGAGCCGTGTAGGTAGATGCAGACTAACTAGTTGTGGTCCGTGTGGTTATCGTAACTAAATGTTAGGTAATTTGAATGACATGACTCAGAACCGTTCACAGAAACCCGGTTGCATTTACTATCTTCGCTTAGATCTTAAATTTCCTATAAGTATTATTCTTTTTGTTTCGATAATTCATATTTTCTTGAATCTTACTACCACTGATACTGTTGCTACTGCGGGATTTGCCTTGACAATTCCATCTTGCTGTGCTAATGGAGTATGGAAACTTGGACCGATTTACACTTGTGCCAGATTCCACACTGCGTTTAACTAACTGGAACAACAAAGAAAGCAGGTTTTTATAGAAAAGTCACACTTACTAAGCAAAGGTTTAATTGCTAATAGCATAAGGCAGTTGTTCAGAAGAATGGTGTATTTTTACAGTTTGATCTTGTTTTTTTCGAGAAAAGACTGTACATGAAGATAACTGGTAGGTTGATCTCATAAAAAGGTTTTGTCTGAAGTTCAATAGACGTCATTTAATGTCCAAGTCGCTGAATGCACGTAGCAGAGGAAGGTACTATTTACCACTTTTGTCTAATGATCGATAAGAAATCCCTTTGCTTCGTAAATAGTGCACTATGTCACTAGGAAGAGATCCGTAGACACTGATTGCATAAACACCCGGTGTAAGTTTATCAATCATCTGCCATCTTGCAACCCAACTGTCGTTTGGTGACATCATAGCAAGTAAACCATCAAAGTTAGCAGAAGAACATTCATATACCTTTTCTCGGTCTCCTTGCATCTTTAGAAAGTCCTCACAGTTTTCGCATCCGTTTAGTTGAAATTGGTTAAGAGTTTTCACAAGACCACATAATAAGCAAGCTCTTAATTGACGTAGTTCTGATGGGATTACGGAATTAACAGCCATTAAAAGGGAAGCCACTTGGAAATTTCAGTGAGGTTTATCTGTTATGGGGACCAAGACAAGTCATCGAAATAAAATCTTGTTATGCGGCGTATTTAGTAAGAAAAAACAATGGATTATCAGAGACTTACCCTAATGAGCATGGATGGGTACTGGAGGTTATAAGAGTAAGCGCCTGACTACACCAAACTGGCACTTACCAACGAATTAAGTGATTTATTTCAGTGAGCGTAATCTTTTCTAGGACCGTACAAGGTTCGATGATTAAAAGTCAAACAGTGTGAATAGTTTTCAGAAAACAGTCGGGAATGGTTCGGACAATAACTTGCAGCCATGCCTGAAGACTGATTACGTCTTATGATCTAGGCACAGGTTAGAAATATCGCAACTTGTGAAACTAGTGAGATCAGTCACGTATTTCATTATCTGTCGAGTTTTACATATAATGAGAATAAACAACGGAAGTTAGATATATCTGACTCAAAAGTGTACTTATGATTTAATGGACAGAAAGCAACAAACCAAAACCAGCTGGTAAGGTTTAGCATGGTTAAACTATTGGATGGCGTTGGGTGTATCAGCATATGTCCACATATGTACATCGTATCAACAAACTTCCTCGCCATACGTTGAGGAACGCAAACATAACTGTGTTTTATTGAAGGAGGTGGCCTGAAGATTATATACATAGGCTGTATTATATCCCCAAAAGACAAGTCGTGTGGGATCTAATTATAGATACACAGGTCTTCTGCAAGTCAGTGGTATTTTTCGTAAGTGAGCTGTGAAACTGAATTTTATACCAAGTCCAGAAATGTTTAAGTCGTAGATTGAACCAACAAACACCCGTACTACAAAATCGAATCACTAACAAAGATGCAGAAGACACCACACTTAGTAGCCCAGTAGTTGAAACAGCCGCTCGGGACTCAACGCTTCAGTTTCGGTTTAGCTTGGCCAATCCAGCATCGTACATGAGCTTCGCTATTCTGGGAGTCAGCTTAGTTACTGTTCCCTGAACCTTTCCCCAAAGGTCACTGGCTTTTTTAAACGAGGGCTAGCCGCGTGTATGCAGTATTGAGGTTTAGGACTCACGAACAATGACTCCTAAGTCATTGTGTGTCAGAATAACAGGTGGCTCAATATTGTTCATCGTGTATCTGTACCTTGTTGACCGACATGCATCACAATACACTTGGAAGTATTTACCGGCAACTGTCAGGTTTCAGACCATTCAGATAATTTCTTCAGGTCATTTAGGAGTTCTAACTATCACCCTTACATCGTATTGTTCTCCATATCTTGACATCGTTAGCATATAGCAAGACCGATGATGATAGGAGACGAGGAGGGTCATTAATACACAAGAGCGATAGCACTGGCCCCAAAATTGTACCCTAGGGCGCTCCACTAAGCACAGTTTTTCAGCTAGACAACTTTGAGTCCACTAGTACTGTTTGTTGGCACACAACTAGGAAGTCTTTTATCCACATCAATAGATAGCCTCCGAGTTCGACATTTCTTAGCTTATATAACAGCCAGTTGTGCGGAGTTCTGTCAAGAGCTTTGCTTAAATCAGTGTAGGCTACGTCTACAAGTAACTTTTGGTCCTTAATAGCTCACCAGCTTTCACGAGTGAGTAATAAGTTAGTGAGACAAGAATAATCTATTCTGAAACCGTGCTGTTTCTCCGAAAGGATCCGGTTTTCATCGAGGTACTTAAACAGCTCCTTCCGAATAATCTTTTCCAAGATTTTAACAACCACACTTGTTAGGCTAACGCGCCGGTAACTCTCAGGTTTATGTTTCGTACCTGTTTTGAAGACGGGACCTACTGTGGCGTCCTTCCAGTCTTTCGGCAAACGACTCTGGGTTACGGACAGATTAAAGCATATACTTTAAGTGTTTGCGAAGATGTTAGCTAATTCATTTAGTAACCTAGGATTCAGTTTATCAGGCCTCGTGCATTTATCTATGTCAAGCTTATTTAGCAGACCAAAAACATCTAGTTCTTTAATGGTTACGCTATCCAGTGTGTGTGGGGGGATTTGTATGCTCTGACGGGAAGAGCGTTTCTGTGGTGTATACATTTGTAAAGTAAATTGAGAATACCTGAGGTTTACCAAAGTCTGACATGTCACTGTGACCAGTCTTCGATTTCTCAGCTACTTTTTGGATGACATGATTTTCTTATATATCGTTATATCGTTTCCTGCCTACGACCTGACTTGTGAAGACAGGTTGTGTTTCCTGCTAGAAAGAGATCTAGCCTTGGGATTGCGATATTCAGGTGTTTCCTGCCGGATACCATTTAGAGGATGGGAGACGGAGGAAACCTCCTCTCTTGAGTTTTAATTTAGGAGGAGCTTCTTAAGTTGTATCTGTTGGAATTTCCAATGTGCTAGAATAAAGCTAAGGCAATTGTGGCTTCTAACAATTTGCAATAAAATGAAGTCATTGGTGACCCTACTTCTAAGTTTACTCAGTTTGTATGCAGTGCATTAATTTCGCCCACCATAAGGCTTTTACCCCTATTACACCAGGACTTAAGTTTGATTAGGAGGGAGTCATCTAGTACACATTAGGGATATTCTACAACCAACTCAATATCTTGCCGTCTACATTTTAGCTTCCAACGTACCAGTTTGCATGTACCTGAATCATGTACAAGTGTCTCAACTGCTAATATGGTTTAAGTGCCTTTCGTGTACAAAATAACACCGCCCCAACTACGGTATAATATATCAACCCTACTGGATAAGGAACCAGTCAACTGAGTTTCATTATCGAACACTTCTGACGTTATACATGTTTCTGAGGCAGCAATAACGTCCGGTTTTCCCATATCCACCATTGTCTTGAGATTGTGGCAAGCACATTCGGCTGCTGTATCATTTGTCTACTCATTGTAACTCAGACACTTAATCCATCATGTTAATTCCTGTGTGCATTTCAGACTCTTAATTCACTATGTTCATTTCGGTGTGTATGATCGAATGCATGTCTGTACATTAACCCTTAGGCTATCCTCCTATTAGTTGCAATGTGCAGATGATCGATAATTTATCCACACCCGATTAACTCTCAAAAATATTTACGGATTTTTAACACACGCACACACACACACACTCACTCACTTTGTTTCATCATGTGCTTGCTCGCTGTACGCTTGCGGATTTTTATTAATTATTAACAATAAATTATCTCTACAACCGGTGTCCAGGCGTTTGAATAATCTCGCGTAAAATCCATAATTCTACCAGGAGATTTAGCCTACATTAAATACTTAGTTAACGGGATATTATTTATTGGAGTCAGATATTGAAGCTAGAAGCTCCACCATTTTATTTGGTAAGCTGTGGGCATTTGTGTAGTATATCTTTAATTATGTGGGAAACTTTCTCTTATCACCTAGAGTGGTTTGAGAATTGTTTCGCTCTGAACTTTCGCAATTTGAAAACTCTTAAGTACGAGGTTTCTTTCTTTGTGTCAGTGGTGCTCATTTATTTTTTCTTCAGCTCGTCTCTCAACACGATCAACCAGGCTGAGATCCTCACTGACGTATATTTCGGATCAAGTCAGATTGCTTAAACTTCCAAGTTTTAGGTTTCTTTCTTCAACTGTAGCAAAGGTAACTTTCAAGAGGCGGCTTTTCTGGGTACTTTCAGAGTCCACCTTTTGTCCGATTCTATAAAGCTTACAGATGCTAACCCCTGAAACTGTTAATGAGCGTAGATTGCTTATCAGGGACTTAATGTTACTGAGGTCGTACTCAAGTCTAGCCTTTTGTTTTTTTTCGAAGATTCTCTTAACTTATGAAAAATGACTGACCACTCAGCGATGTCCGCCAGAACGCAACGTGGAATTTCGGCGCCTGAACTCGTCTCTTCCTTGCAATGCGATCCCAGTTTAGCGTCAAACGCAGTGGTCACATTCTGTTTCCTTACCTTTATCTTCCTAGGTGTGACTGTAAGCCACTCATTTACCATATTTCGTCTATTGGTCAACCCTCTACACCACTCAGACATGGTTCCCAAATAGTTTGTTTTGCGTGGATATTTACCGGTTGACACCATAGCGCAAGCGAAACATGGTTTTGCGACCGGTAAACTTTGATCTATAAAGAAGTGATTATAACAACATTTATTTGCCCTCTCACTCTCTGACTACGTAGCCTCATCGAAGATGATCCACAACCACCCTTGCTGCAAAAGGACCTGGCAAATAATGATTGATTCAGAAGACGAAATGATAATCAGTTGCAAGCTTTTATACTTATAGTGGAAACTGGGAGTGACACTGAGCAGATTGTTAAGTATGTCGAAGACAATTTCGGAAGGGCAATTACCGTCCAATATATCCATAATTTGAGATATAACGTTGTCGAACGTAGGTTTTTTCTATCGGTCTATGGATTTTTAGGTTGTGGCAGCCCTTTCAACCTTGCGAACTAGTGGGAATATCTTCATATGCCATAATGGTGATGCTAACCAAGTGGAGAGAATATTATTCAGTAATTGAGAGGAAATTGAAATGTATAAACGTATTCCTGCAGTAATTTGTCACGATTCGACAACCCCTTAGGTGCAACCTCCCGGTAATGGGCTGTAGTCTTAAGATCATAACTCACTGTCACCGCAAGATCCTTGCGAGACCGGAACACGGATACCCGCACTGCACCTATGCTGCACCTTTTTACCTTTGTATCCCCAGGGTACATGTGGACACACTTTTTCGCGTTAAATGGCAGCATCCACTCTTTAGACTAGCTTCTACTGTAAAGTTCATACAACCCAAGCACTAGTTTGAGAGGAGCTATAGTAGCTAGTCAAATAATAGGTAGTTTCTGAGGATCTTGTGTGTTCGCTATGTTAGTTTCATTGAATGTAATTTACTGCAATATGATCATAGTTACTTAATACTACTCGAAAAACTTAGGGCAGATTCATTCAAGTGGTTATAATGGCCGTAGATGAACCGCCTTCAGTATCTGGAAGCACTGGGTCACCAACATCTCCAGGTTGGAACCTCGGTATATTTGTTGCAGCAAATAAATAAGGTCTTGTAAGTGTGTGACATTGAAGCTGACCTCGTTAATTTTAATGGACATATCTAGTTGAAGGCGTTCGGTCACGCATTCGCACCCATTCACAAGTGGGTACGCCATGCTACGAAAGTCTTGCAACAACTAGTTGAATGGATCACGAATGGGTACACAGCGCCACACATCTCTCGCGACAGTTAAATAGCCTAGACTAAACGCTTCTCGATATATAGATTTTCGAGCAAACATCCTCGAAACTCTTCATTTCGAAATTCTGATTTGACTGAATTGATATACGTCGATCATACCTGTGGTATCTTTACTGGTGAAACCGAAATGATCTGGTACATTAATTCGTAAACTGTGAGTCTGAACATCGCTGGAACATTATATATCATCTTTAATTTTTTTGGATATTCCTCGTTCATTGCTGTATTATATCTTCGTTATGGTTAAACAGGCATCTTAATTACATAGGATTAAGCCACTTTCGTGTCCAACTCCTGATTTGTTCTCTCCCAGAGTATATTGTTGCTGATAGTGTCTGGTCAACGGATAAGAAGTATTTTGCGTAAATAGCTGATAATAAACACTTGTATCTCCTGGATGATGATTTTCGTAGTTATCCAGGTTCCCGCTTAATACAGTAGGAGTGCCTTGACGGTTATGTTGAAAATTCTGACTTGGAGCCCCTTGGAGCCACTGTCGGTCCCAAGCCCGGATAAAAGAGGAGGATCGGGCACAGGGTTAATGACCTCACCCTGTAGAAAACTAACTCGCTAAAAAACTCTAATCAGAAAAACTAATTCAGCATTTACATGCTTCAGTGAAAAGGTTTGCTTAAACATCAAAAACTAGCAAACACAGTCTTCAATAAATAAACATTGGCTAGCAATTTATCAA